TACTGCCTATTGACCTTGAAGATCTCTGTAATTATTTAAAAAACATAAAGTGGATTTTCTAACATAATACATTAAGAAGAACACAAAAATGTCCTCGTTCAGTTTCACAATTGTATTGATCACTTTGCACGGAACAGGACTCAGTTTCCCAAAGTACCCAAAATAAATTACATTGTGGATTATTGTGTAATTATGGATCTTTCCAAAGACTGATAGAGCCAGAAAATTGAGTCCTGAATATTTCATAATGCATGGCACCGTCTTTGTGGAGGAAATTATTTAGGGATAGCGTTCTCATTTGCAGAATGGATAAAGGTTCATTGCGAGTCACCAGAGTGCTGTAATTGGAAAGCTTCTGCGATTCAAAGGAATTATTCAAAGATGAGCACATCTACTTGATAACTGTGAAATCAGTGCAACATTAATCCTCTGTCTTCTAAAAATTCTCGACTGATGACCAAACCCGTCAGGCTGCTGTCATGTTGATCTGTATATCTGTATAAATCACTCTCATACAGCAAATATGAAAAACTTGCTTTTGTTTTTTGTTTGTTTTTGCAGATGACACCTGGGGCCCTCCTTTTGTCTGCAACTGCGAAGACAGTCAAGAGGTGACTCATACTGATTTGATCTAAAAGTTTGATTCAAAACACTGAAGTAAAAAAAATATTTACAAAAGAGAAAACTGATCTCAACACTAAGCAGTAATCAGACATATTTAGAACAAATTAAATCATTTTAATATAGGACTGGAAAAATTACACACTAACGTGATCACTCCAGCTGCAATGGAAAAGAACAGTGTTGCCTCTAGAAAACATTTGAAGAAATGCCAGTTTTGAAAAATGTCATCTTTAAAAGGCGAATCTAAATGTCAGAGAGACGGATACTTTACACATAGAGAGCGCTGCCTTCTGGGCGTAACACAGAAAAGTGTGAGAATAATATTTTTTCCCAGTTGGAATGAACTCCAATTACCCGTCATCAAGCATATAAAGCAGTATGTACCCAGTCACATAGCCTGGAGAGGAACGTGGTCACTATTCACAGCATTAGTCAGGAAACCACAGAGGAGGCTGCATAAAAGTGAAAGTGTTTCTGTTTGTTCCAAACAACAATGAAACCTTAGTTTTACTATGTTACTGAGATCAAATTTACTGAATTAATCCAATAAGAAAGATTAGTAAAGTGAAGAAGATCTTTCATGGAAGAAAAAACAAAGAGTCAGAGTACCCGGCCGAGAGGGTTATCGGGGTCTCACCCTTGAGCCAGGCCTGGGGTTGGGGCCCGTGAGCGAGCGCCTGGTGCCTGGGCTTTCACCCATCGGGCCCGGCCGGGCCCAGCCTGAACCGGATACATGGGCTCATCCAGCTGTGGACCTACCACCCGCAGGAGGAACTTGAAGGGTCCGGTGGCGTGTGGATCGGGTGGCAGACCGAGGCGGGAGCCTTGGCGGTCCGATCCCCGGACAAGGAAACTGGTTATTGGGACATGGACCGTCACCTTGCTGGCGGGGAAGGAGCAGGAGCTTGTGGCAGAGGTTGAGCGGTACCGGCTAGATATAGTCGGACTCACCTCGACACATAGCATTGGCTCTGGAACCCAAGTCCTTGAGAGGGGTTGGACACTCTCCTTTGCTGAAGTTGCTCCGGGGGAGAGGCGGAGGGCTGGGGTTGGCTTTTTGTTAGCCCCAAGACTCTCTGCCTGTGTGTTGGGGTTTACCCCGGGGGACGAGAGGGTAGCTTCCCTGCGCCTTCGAGTCGGGGAACTGGTCCTGACTGTTGTTTGTGCTTATGGGCCAAATATCAATTCAGAGTACCCACCCTTTTTGGAGTCCCTGGGACGAGTGCTAGATAGTGCTCCATCAGGGGACTCCATTGTCCTGCTGGGGGACTTCAATGCTCACATGGGCAATGACAACATGACCTGGAGGGGTGTGATTGGGAGGAACGGCCCGCCTGATCTGAACTTGAGTGGTGTTTCGTTATTGGACTTCTGTGCAAGCCGCAGTTTGGCCATAACGAACAACATGTTCGAACATAAGGATGCCCATCGGTACACTTGGTACCAGGGCAGCCTAGGTCGCAGGTCGATGATAGACTTTGTAGTCGTATCATCTGACCTGTGGCCTTATGTTTTGGACACCTGAGTGAAGTGAGGAGCGGAGCTGTCAACTGATCATCACCTGGTGGTGAGTTGGATCAGATGGCAGGGGAAGATGCCGCGTAGACCTGGCAGACACAAACGCATAGTGAGGGTCTGCTGAGAACGCTTGGCACAAGAACCTGTCAAGACGGTCTTCAACTCCCACCTCCGGCAGAGCTTTGACCGCGTCCCGAGAGCAGTGGAGGACATCGACTCTGAGTGGGCCTTGTTCCACTCTGCGATTGTTGAGGCGGCTGTTGCTAGCTGTGGTCGCAAGGTGGCCGGTGCCAGTCGTGGTGGTAACCCCCGTACCCGCTGGTGGACATCAGAGGTTCGGGGAGCCGTCAGGCTGAAGAAGGAGGCCTACAGGGCTTGGCTGGTCTGTTGGTCTCCGGAGGCAGCAGACGGGTACCGGATAGCCAAGCGGGGTGCAGCAGTGGCAGTTGCCGAGGCAAAATCTTGGGCGTGGGAGGAGTTGGGTGAGGCCATGGAGAAAGGCTATCGATCTGCGCCAAAGAGGTTCTGGCAAACTGTCCGGCGCCTCAGGAGAGGGAGGCAGCAACTCGCTCACACTGTTTACAGTGGGGATGCGGAGCTGCTGACGACCTCATTCCAGTGCTTCCTCTGTGGGAGCCCTCTGCCCCGGCGGCAGTGGTCGGCTGTGGTGGCCTGGGTGCTTTCCAGGTGTGCCTAGGTGGAGGTGGGGTCTCTGCCCTCCCTGCCCTGGGCGCCCTGTGTCAGTGCCTCAGCTGCTGCTGTGAATCTGCTGCTGCCGGGGCGAATGGCTCCCCGGATGGTGTTTCCTTATCCTTATCTTAGCTGGTCTGGCTCATCTGATCTCAGTCAATTGTGTTTTTTTTACCATGGGGAAGGGGGCATGTGTGTGTGTGTGTGTGTGTGTGTGTGTGTGTGTGTGTGTGTGTGTGTGTGTGTGTGTGTGTGTGTGTGTGTGTGTGTGTGTGTGTGTGTGTGTGTGTGTGTGTGTGTGTGTGTGTGTGTGTGTGTGTGTGTGTGTGTGTGTGTGTGTGTGTGTGTGTGTGTGCGCTGGAGGATGAGTGTTGTGAAGGGGTTTTTATTGTCAGGCTGTTTTTAAAATTCTGGAGATGGGAGGGAGTGTGGGTATGCGGGGCCATTTTAATTTGTTAAGCACTTTGAGTTGCATGTATAGAAGGATAAAGTGCTATATAAATAAAAGTTGATTGATTGATTGATTGATTGATTGATTGATTGATTGATTGATTGATATAGTCGGGCGGCAGAAAGAATACTTTGAGGAACTCCTCAATCCCACCTACGCACATTCCTAGGAGGATCCAGAGCTGGGAGACCTGGGGATGGACTGTCCAATCTCGGGGGCAGAAGTTGCTGAGGTAGCCAAACAACTACACAGCTGCGGAGCCCCGGGGGTGGATGAGATTCGTCTTGGGTATCTCAAGGCTATGGATGTGGTAGGGCTGTCGTGGCTGACGCGTCTCTGCAACATTGCGTGGTCATGGGGGCAGTTCCTGTGGAGTGGCCATCGACATGGGAGAGGCAGACCGGGGTGGTGGTCCCCATCTTTAAGAAGGGTGACCTGAGGGTGTGTTCCAACTATAGGGGGATCACACTCCTCAGCCTCCCTGGAAAGGTCTACTCCAAGGTACTGGAGAGGAGGGTCCGATCAATAGCTGAATCTCAGATTGAGGAGTAGTGTTGGGAGTAATGCTGTACAGAAGTAATTAATTACTGTAATGCATTGCTTTTTGTTGTAATGTGGTAATGTAAGGCATTACAGGGAAAGAAAATGGTAATATTTACTCAGTACAATTGTCAGTAACGCAGTAATTACAATGCATTTTAAACCCAGAATCAAGATATGTTTCTTAAAAATTCAAATTGCGGTAAACCCGAAGAAAGATCCAGTATCTGTATATATTACGTCATTTATGGACTCAGCTTTGCGGGCAGAGAGGACGCAGCGGTACCGGCTCAAATACTCCAGCTGTGTCCTCCACGCGGCCGCTGTAACATTCACAAAATCGCTCCACTAAAACAAAATAATTCACTTGCGATCGTTCATATCAGCGCATGTTCTCTGGTATTCTGTACTTTTCTGACGTGCTTTGCCTCATCTGAGTTAATCTGGGCCCCGGTGATTTTAACTCATTGCTGCTTGAGCGCCGCGCATGTGAAGATCCCTCTGGCTGATCGTTAGAAAGTAGGAAGTCTAGGAAACAGTTTTTCTGGAAGACGGAGAAAACATGCAGCATGCAGGGAGGTTAGAGAGAGAAAGGGCAGGAAATAATTCAAATAAAATCAAGAAATCAAACAAAGTGCTTGAAAAGAAAAAAGTAGGTAGATTTATCCCCAATACACATTTTTACCAGTGAAAAGAAATTATATATAAGCATTTCATATTTATACATGTGATAGAATCAGATCACCCCAGAAGTCAGTCCCACATCCAGGGCCATATCAAGGCATTTGGGGACCAAGGCTAAATAGACTTGGAGCCCCCACCACCTCACTCCCTGCTCAGTTAATCTAAGATGGCAGCATGTTGAGAGTACAGATTGTTGTTGCATTTATTTCATAACCAATGCTTCTAAAGATCTGTTTTTAACAGCACTCCTAGCTCAGACACCACATTACCTTCCACCGGATGTGTCATGAGTTCACCAGGCATCAGATTACCAAACTCATATTGAAGTTGTTTTGTTGAAAGTAACTTAGAGTAATGCAAAAGTAGTGTAATGCCTTACATTTTAAAATCAGTAATATTGTAATGTAATGAGTTACTTTAAAATGAGGGTAACAAGTAATAAATAATGTATTACAGTTTTGAAGTAACTTGCCCAACACTGTTGAGGAGGAGCAATGTGGTTTTCGTCCTGGCCGTGGAACTGTGGACCAGCTCTATACCCTTGCAAGGGTGATGGAGGGGGCATGGGAGTTTGCCCAAGCAATCCACATGTGTTTTGTGGATTTGGAGAAGGCTTATGACCATGTCCCCAGGGCACCCTGTGGGGGACGCTCCAGGAGTATGCGGTGGGTGGCCTTTTGTTAAGGGCCATTCAGTCCCTTTACCAGAGGAGCATGAGTTTGGTCCGCATAGCCGGTAGTAAGTTGGAGCTGTTCCCGGTGAGGGTTGGACTCCGCCAGGGCTGCCCTTTGTCACCGGTTCTGTTCATAACCTTTATGGACAGAATTTCTAGGCACAGCCGTGGTGTGGAGTGTGTCGAGTTTGGTGGCTGGAGAATCTCATCTCTGTTTTTTGCGGATGATGTGGTCCTACTAGCTTCATCCAGCTCTGACCTTCAGCTCTTGCTGGGTAGGTTCGCGGCCGAGTGTGAAGCGGCTGGGATGAGGAACAGCACCTCCAAATCTGAGACCATGGTTCTCGAACGGGAAAGGGTGGCTTGCCAACTCCGGGTTGGGAGAGAGGTCCTACCTCAAGTGGAGGAGTTTAAGTATCTCGGGGTCTTGTTCACGAGTGAGGGTAGGAGAGATCGGGAGATTGACAGGTGGATTGGTTCGGCGTCTGCAGTGATTCTGTTGTGGTGAAGAGGCAGCTGAGCCAGAAAGCCAGGCTCTTGATTTACCGGTTGATCTACGTCCCAATCCTCACCTATGGTCATGAGCTTTGGGTAATGACCGAAGGAATGAGATTGCGAATACATGCAGCCAAAATCAGTTTCCTCCGTAGGGTGGCCGGGCTCAGCCTTAGAGATGGGTGAGGAGCTTGGACATTCAGGAGGGACTCGGAGTAGAACCGCTGCTCCTCCGGATCAAAATGAGTCGGTTGAGGTAGTTTGGGCATCTGGTCAGGATGCCTCCTGGACGCCTCCCTGGGGAGGTGTTTCGGGCATGTCCTACCGGCAGGAGGCCCCCAGGTTGACCCAGGACACGTTGGAGAGGTTACATTTTCAATCTGGTCCGGGAACGCCTTGGGGTCCTCCTGGAGGAGCTGGTGGAGGTGGCCGGGGAGAGGACGGTCTGGAGCTCCCGTAGTTGGGATGCTGCCCCCGCGACCCAGGCCCGTATAAGCGGAGGAAGATGACGACGACGAGTAAAGTGATGTTTGTAAATGTTCTAGTGTTGCTTTAAAGGGATTTTTGTAACTTGTTCATTTTTTATTACGCCAGTATGTGCTAAAATGACCCTTTAAAGAATTAAGGTGGCCAGAATGTTCCACTTGCAACTTCAGGCTGGTGGGTCGCTCTGTTGGGACTTAAAACTAATTGAACTGACATACGTGGTGCTGCAGTCTGGTTCCAACATGTTTCCTGCATGCTTTTGATCATGAACACAGCTGGTTAGTTTAACTTAGTGATTAATCGCTCCTGTAGACACTAAGGAAGCCTGGGGAGAGATTTTAGCTGTTAGATCAATGATTGAATATAGAACACGGACACTCTGGCGACATCTAGGGTGGTGCAACAATAAAACACTTTTTCCAGGTGTTGGAGTGTTGGTTCACTACATTCATTTGTATCTTCCCATATATTTTTCATTTAAAAGCCTAATACTTCTTTCTCTGCAGATTTTTAACGAATATGATTAGTTTGAAAAAGTGCTTGTGCTTACAGGAATATAATAGAAGTTTTTAATCTGTGTCCATACTATAAAGCCACTCAGATACTTCAGGTTTGCTCAGGTTTGTCTCAAAAATCAAATTGTTCCCTCTTTTTTTGCAGGAGGACTGATCTGTTGTTTGCTTTAATTCCCTATACAAATAAATAAAATTTTATCCTATGATTTGAATATGTTTACATTTAAATGGATTTTCTCTTCATTTCTAGTATAAACCCTTTATATTTTGCAAAATCAAAGAAAATGGTGAAAATTTATACAGTATCTCTGTAGATATGCTACTATAGGCTTAGACTGCTGTAACACATGACCACTTTCCACATTTTACTACTTTCTTCTACAATTTCTCTCTTAATTGCATTTTTTCCTGTTATTTCAGCTGTTAACTTTATTTTTTTCTCCTCAAAAGAAGCTACAATGGTGTTCTGCTGAGCTGTCCTCATGGAGGGAGCCATCGGCTTGAACACTGCTGATAACCACTTAACATTGTCCCTCTCCTGATAATGACATTTTACTTTCTTTGACATGGAATGTGCTACTACTAGTTTACCCATTTAATTTTAAATTCACTAGAATAAATACAATAAATTTTATCTCTCACTATATAGAACATTTACTAAGAAATCACAATGTAACCATTGAATCTGCTGGGTTCCTTATATAGGAAACGTTTTACTGATTGGCTTAATGAACTGACCTGTATTGGAATGTTTACTATGTGAAGTGCCTTGAGACGGCTCTTGTTGTGATTTGGCGCTATATAAATAAATTGAATTGAACTGACTTACTGAAGACATTTCAGAGTATAGCATGTCACATGTGAGTGTTTAGGTTTGTTTATTTGTTTGACTTCTCTTTTGGCTCCATAATTGACACGACCTCACACCTTTTACCCAGAAGACAAGAAGAATGATGCAAGATGAGCAGCGGCCTGTTTTTGGATGAACAGTTTGCACTTAGTGTCTCAGTAAATAGAAAACTTAGATCTTCCAACATTCTCAGATTGTTTTAAAATTATTTCACTTTGCAAAAAAAACAACACTTTTGTACTTTTCAGCAACCTAAAGGTGTGAATCCTCCAGTCAGTGCAGGTAAGTGACTGAGCAGAAAGAAGAAACAGAGAGAAAAAGGAGGTGCAGAAGAAAAAGGAATGAAAGTGGGGTGATAGAGTAAATACTCAGCTGTCTTTGCTCTGTCCCTGCTGTCCCAGGCCATCTTTTTATATATTAATGGTTGAGGTCATGTCAGATCAGGGAGAGCTAATCTTAACTCACTACTCGAGGACACGCTCACCCTACAGGGCTTTTCGGTATCTCCTCAGTCCAAAACAGAAACACTGGGCTCTTCTCTTAGCATGCAAATGAGACAAGAACAAATGTCCCATCACTTCTGGGGCTCCATGTCCCAAAGTGCTTAACACTCTTCCTGTCAACCCCCCCACCCGAGCTGCTTCAAAAAGCCATCCTGCAACATCCTTCACTCCTTTCTCTCCCCTCTTATGTTCTTTAAATGAGCTCTCCAACTCCACTTCTTTCTCACAATTCAATTTTACAAGGCCATTATCCTGGGTGTAATGTGGAGGTTAAATATATCGGGGCAGACATTATGTGAAAATAATTAGTGCTAATGAATAATGCACTCACTCAGCTGATGAAGGATGGTTGTCAGGGTAATGGACTGCAAGGGAGGGGCCTCCATGACAAATGAAATTAAAATATTGAAACACTGTTTCACAATATTACGAGGCCCTCGCTGACACTGCCTGTTCTCAGGCTGGCAGGCCTGTCTCAGAGATGAGATCTGATAGTTGAGCCATGTCCAACATCTGTCTCGCCGAAGGCACGGTGAGGAATCGTCCTGTCCCCGCCCTTTTAGACAACCCTAAACCAAAGCATCCTTGTCCTGTTGGTCACTTTAATGACACAACATACACCAGTCTCCTTGACGGGTCCCGCTTCTGAACTCAATTATATTTAGCTTCTTTTATTTATCACCACTCGACTCATTCAGTCTTTAACTATCTCATTCTGCAGCCATAATGTGACAATGAAGGATGTAGCCTCTAAATTGCTCAGTTTACTGCACCTTTCTCATCCAATCGGCCCTCTCAAATCAATGATGGTGAACCAAGCACTCAGTGTCTGATAAATATTAACGCATCAATGCCATTTCATTAGACGTGATGGTTGGAGGAGGATGTCTTTGACAGGAACAAAAAAACACATAAACTAATGAGCAATATTTTTACGTTGCTTTGTAAAAAAAATTAACTCGACTATGACCTTTTAAATTGATTCATTCAGCCAATAAATAAAAAACTGTTAAAATTATCGATTGATCTTTGACATTTAAGTACTTTGGGATCTGATATAAGGTACAATGGAAACGTGAGCATTATATAGTAATATTTAGAAATTGTTACAGAATATTTGGTGCTGTATTGATATTTGGCTGGATCAGCGAATTTCCTTCAAAAGTAAATATGTAATATTTTAAGGGGACGAATTATGCAAATCTCACCTTTTGTGCTGCCTCGTAAGGCAAGGCTAGGCAGCTTTATTTATAGAGCACATTTCAAACACAGAGGCAATTCAATGTGCTTTACAACATAAAAACAACATAAAAACACAAATTAAAATACACACAAATGGAATTACAGTTTAGAGCTAAAGGAGAAGATGCAGCATACGAAACAATTCATTTAAAGGCTAATGTGTAATAATAATAATAATAATAATAAAAAACTTTATTAATCCCTCGGGTGAATTCCTTCGGGAAATTCAGTTTCCAAAAAAAGCAGCGCAACACCGACAGAGGTTTTTAGTTTTGTTTTAAACAACACTAGGGTTGGGACAGATTTGAGGGTCATGGGGAAGCTGATTCCATATGTGAGCAGCACACTAACATTTTAATGTAGCTCTCTACTTCCTCCAGATACACTTCAAGCATTTAAAAAGTCCATCAGCTTTCTGTCAGTGTTTGGTTTGAGGAATTATGTGCCTAAAACAAGTGGTTTCAATTAGTTCCCAGTTCTGACATCACAAACAGGGAGAGTAGAATAGAACCACCTCTAATGTGTAACAGAGAGCTGCTGCTGGAGGCAAGGCAGCTTTACTTGTATAGCAGCTTACAACAAGTCCAACCAAAGTGCTTCACAGAAATTAAAACATTAAAAACAATACACAATATAAAAATGCATAAAAACTAAAGCTTAACAACTAACACTAAAAAGACTCTCATGCTGAGTTAAAAGCCGAATCATAAAAATAGGTTTTCAAAAGAAATTTAAAACCAGACAGTGAAGAGGCCGACCTTAATGCTCAAAGGCAGCACATTCCAGAGCCTAGGGGCCGCTACAGAAAAAGCCCTGTCACCTCTGAGTTTACGTCTTGTTTTGGGGACTTCCAGAAGCATCCTATCAGTCGAACTCAGAGACCGTGGAGGAACAGCGTCTATGCTCAAAGCCCCTCCCGGATCTCAAAGCTACTCAGTGAATAGCAACCTGAGCTCAGGAAGAGTGCAAGGCCAGCTCCAGCTTGTTTTCTGAAAGGGGCAGAGCCCTGAAACGGCTCATTCTGGAAAGTACTGAGACTATGAATCACAAAACTGCTGACATTGCTTTATGTGAGAGAGGATTTGTACAGAAAAACTTCATGAATGTGTTTTGTATCAATCATAGAACCCTTATAACTTAATATGCCTCCTTTAATGGCTAAAGTTTATCTGTTTGCAAACTGTAAATTTGCTCCATTCATTTCTTTGTTTCTAATGAAGTTTCCACTATGAAAAAGCTCATGTTCAGGGCTTTATCGGTTGTTTTCATCTGTATGAGATCAGGTTGAAGCATGAAAGGTTATTACCACATTAAGCAGGGTAATCCTAAAGGCCTTTCATTCAGATCTATGAAACGACGTCCTGTTGAGATTTTTCAGGTCCGGTTGTCCCGTTCTAGTGTAGCTATGGATGCAGCCAGCCACAGTGTGTGAGAGGGGTCTGTTTAAGTGCTTTAATTGCTTTCTGTAAATGTCAGGTCTTAAATGACAATGATGCAAAAGTGGGATAAAATCGAAAATCCCAGAATTCAGAACATTCAGCATTAGAAGTTGATGTCTTTTACAATTCTTTTTCACTTAGGAAAAACATGAGAAGAAAACATATCTCCAAACTGCCAACCTGCAGGTCTTTTGAATCAGTCTTCTGTTTTTGCAGGACAACATGAAACTGTCCTCTACAAAATCCAAACTTTCAAACATGCTTTTTTCTTTTAATGCTGGCGATAACAAGAAAGCCACTACGCTCACCCATCATCTGGCAACTTTCTTTTGTTAATTTTATACTTGTTTTTCATATTTGGTGCCAAATCCATTTGACTTGCAAAGCAGGCCTAATTACTGGGACCAGTAGTGTGCAAGTCACACATCAAACAGTAAGTTACAGTAAAAGCCTGTGATCCGAGATGCATCCCCTCTCACTTTTTTCTGTCCTCCTTTTGCACACCAGAAACACTGATTATAACAGAAACATTAAAAGGGAATTACACCGGAACAATTTGCACTTAATGTAGCAGTCATAAGAACGGAGAAGAAGGATGGACAAAGATATAGCTGTATCAATAATGCATGCTTTAATTAAGCAGCTGGGAATGCATAGAGCAGGATCAAGGCACGAGGAAAGACATACAATGAAAGAAAAGTGGGAGAAACAGTGAGAGGAAGATGGTGGATGGAGAAAAAATAAAGGAGAATAAAAAGAGCCAGTGACGGAGAAAATGTAAAACAGAACAGAGGGTGGGAAGAGGAGCAGGAGGAGGAGGGAAGAAGATCAGAATGTGTTTCTGTGGGCTTTCCGCACTCTGTGATTCATGGGCAGTAAATATGCAAAGCCTGATGGCCATAAGGCAATCAGAGGAGCGCCACTCATCTACATGTTGCATAGTGGGCCATAATCCATCTGAGGGGCAAGGAATAATGATACCAGGAAGCAAGAATAAGAGCAGGCTCTGTTTATTACTTCAGATGGATCCATAATGCATACAGATGTGAGGGCACACAGCAGCCTCTAGCAACAGATATCTATGGAAAAGAACAGACAGTAATATTGTTGTTGTTGTTTTTTTTTTGTTTGTTTGTTTTGTTTAATGAAAGCGATTTGATTTAAGCACCTGTTAAAGCAAATAAGCCTCCTTTCTCATAAAGTTTTAAAAGTAACACTGGAACTATGGAGGCCATGAAAAATTAGAGCAGAACTAAAAGAAGATGAGCTGATCTGACAAATCAAATAATGAGAATATTAATACATGCTGCATGCATGTAAAAATAAATTAAGGTTTTAATTTGCTCTAACTGCCACATCTCCCAGTAATAGGCCCATACCTGTGTGACTGAAACCCACCAGTAATAAAACAGTGATTTCACTTCCTGTTGTCAATGTGTTTATTCTTCATTATTTCCAGCACAACACAAACACACACTCCCCCTGTCCCCTTGCAGGAGACATTAACACTGGGATTCTTCTGTTGCCAGAGTAAGTAATAAATTGTAAATTGTGTTGAACATTGATAAACTAATGCAATTACCTGCAGGGCAAGCAAGTCAGCTAATTTAAAGATACCAGGTTTGTTCATGGGGTGGGAGGCTCTGAATAGGACCCAAGGGTGAAAGATGGCGCCTTTATTACATTTGAGAGGTCAGCCTGGTAGCACTGTATTAGGATTGATCTTTTGATCCCTCGCTTGGAATCCCCCACCTTCACACACACACACACACACACACACACACACACAC